TGTAGGAGGTTGTCAACCTTCTGAGCCCTATGGTAGCAATTGTGGGAAATTACGGTGCTCACAACCAAGGAAATAGGATCTCAGACTTATGAAAAAAAGCTAAGATCAGTGAATAAGCAACATTCCTGCCATAGAGTCCTCTTTGGAAGGTAGAAGCTAATGCCTTCCATTAGTTCAGCAGGCATTTGTTGAGCACCCGTGAGCATCTCCTTATCTCTAATCACTGGGAGATTATTATTTATCAGAAATGAAAACTCATTGTCATTCAAGCCTGAAGAGGATGTGGTGGATACCTCACCCTGAAATACTTACTACAAAGTTCAAGCAAAGCAGCTTCCTCATGTTTGCTGTTCCGTGGACTTCGGCATGAGAATGAAGCACCCAGTTAATGAAGGAGGCCAGTGGTTGGACTAACGGGTGTCTATGTGTCTTCTGCTGCAGCCTTAGGCTCTTCAACAGAGGAACAGAAGAGTCCTCTGTCGCTGGGAGGTTCTCAGTGAGAGTTTCACAGGACACACATTTTAAGTAGCAGGAGACTCAGATTCTGAATTTTTCTTTCTAGAAAGATGCAGGTAGCAGTTTTGATTGATGTTTATCTTAGCAGTTGGATGCTAAGAGGCAGTTTGTTTGTTTTTTAATTGGGAGGACCTGGTGGAGCCTACAGACTCGCCCTCAAATCAGAGCTTCTCTGCTGCCTGGCTGTGTGACTTGGAGCAAGGCTCTTTCCTTCTTTCAGCCTTGGTTTCTCATCTGAAAGGCGAGAATAATACTGCTATGCTCATAATATTGAACCACATTGTCTCCTTTCCCTGCTTTACAACGTATTCTTTTCTTTTTCTTTTTTTTTTTTTTTTTTTGAGATGGAGTCTCACTGAGTCATCCCGGCTGGAGTGCAGTGGCACAGTCTCAGCTCACTGCAACCTCTGCCTCCCGGGTTCAAGCAATTCTCGTGCCTCAGCCTCCCAAGTAGCTAGGTTCATAGGCATGTGTTACCCTACCCTGCTGGGGTTTCACCATGTTGGCCAGGCTGGTCTCAAACTCCTGACTTCAAGCAATCCACCCACCTTGGCCTCCCAAAGTTCTGGGATTACAGGTGTGAGTCACTGCACCCAGCCAACAGCCTATTCTTTTATTTCTTTTGCAGCACTTACTCCATTCTGCCTTGTATTTTTGGTAATAACTTCCCAATCTGTCTCTCCCACTAGATGGTAACTTCTAAAGGGCAAGAACTAAGACCTCATCTTTGCAGTCCCTCAAGCCCAGGGCAGCACTTTGTATGCAATGGGTGTATCAGTCCAGGCCCAATCAGGAGACAGAAACCATGCAGTAATTTGAATAAGAGAAATGTAATAGAAGGCATTAATAATCTCCAATAGGAGCAACTATAAGGATGTAAAGGGAACTCCAAAGGGTTCCCTAAGGCTGAGAGAGAATACCCAGGAAGCACAAACTTGGAAGGGGCCCCCTGCATTGCTGTGGTTCAGACTTCACTAGAGGTGTGGTTGTAGCCCACAGGATGGTGGAGAAGTACACGAGGTTGATGTGAGCCAGGGCTGGTTGACAGTGGCTGAGCAGCAGAGAGCCCTCTCTAGTGCAGACCAGAGGACGCTAGTGGACAGGTGTGTGTGTGGAGAGAGAGTCAGGGCATGCTGCCAGTGCAAGGCCTGCAGCACGCAGTGCCTGCGGCAGGAGGGCCACCGTGAAGTGGTTACTGGGCCCGGGCCAGGGCTGCAAGGTCACTGAGCAACTGTGCACTCTAGGCATGCAGCTAGGGCAGAGCATGACCAAAAGTCCCCACAGACAGACTCTGCAGCTCAGCAACATCCAAATCCGAAAGAGAAATCCCCTTCCTCTTGCAGTGGCCCTCCAGGGCCCCCTACTGATGAGGCTCACTGTAACAGAGAGATGCTGACAGGGCCCAGACCATGATCTCAGAGCAGAAGTGAAAGGAGACTTTGGAGCTGAGGCTATACTGTGAAAAATGAAATGGGTGTGATGGGGGTCACTAAAATGTTTGAATTAAATCAGGGAAAGCTATACAACCTGTCAGGCCCCCTCATCCCTGCTTAGTTCCCTTTCTGTGAGGCCTGAAGATTTTACCCTTTTGTAATATACTCTCTGGAAGTTCATTTCCCTCTGGGTGTGTGTGTGTGTGTGTGTGTGTGTGTGTGTCTTTGGTGTTTTTTGAGACAGAGTCTCATTCTGTCAGCCAGGCTAGAGTACAGTGGCACAATCTCAGCCCATTGCAACCTCCGCCTCCCAGGTTCAAATGATTCTCCTGCCTCAGGTTTCCAAGTAGCTGGGATTACAGGTGCATACCACCATGCCCGGCTAATTTTTTAATTTTTAATAGAGACATGGTTTCACCATCTCACCATGTCAGCCAGGCTGGTCTTGAACTCCCAACCTCAAGTGATCCACCCACCTCGGCCTCCCAAAGTGCTGGGATTACAGGTGTGAGCCACTGTGCCCAACCTCTGTGTGTCTTCTTAAGGAGGCATGGGTCTCTCTTCTTGTAGCTCACACTTAAAAGAGATTTCCAAAAAGAAAGAAGGAGCAGGGGAATGAGCTCTCGTAAATAATCTGAGACCCAGTATTTTATTTCACAACTTATTTCTCCACTTGAACTTGAACTTGTTTCTCCACTGTCTATTTCATTTTGAGGCAGTCCACTTGTCTCTTCCAAAATGCTTTAGGAGTGTCCTGAAGCACTTGACTTCAAGTAGCAGTGGAAAGAATCAGAGCCGATCCAAGAACCAGTCTTTCTCTGACTTGAAGGAGAAGTCAGTGGCCACTTTGGGTCAAACTGAGGAGTTAATCTCCTTGGACAAATTTGAAGAGTTCAATCTCCAAATATTTAGAACAGAATGGGTAAGAAGAGAAGAGACACCAGCAGACTTTGAGGACAGTTACAACACAAGTATTATTCAGAATGCATTTAGAAAGGACTAATCGTTGGCCACGCTCAGTGGCTCATGCCTGTAATCCCAGCACTTTGGGAGGCCAAAGCAGGCAGATCGTGAGGTTGGGAGATCGAAACCATCCTGGCCAACATGGTGAAACTCCCTCTCTACTAAAAATACAAAACTTAGCTGGGTGTGGTGGTGCACACCTGTAGTCCCAGCTGCTTGGGAGGCTGAGGCAGGAGAATCGCTTGAACCCAGGAGGCGAAGGTTGCAGTGAGCCAAGATTGTGCCACTGCAGTCCAGCCTGGGCAACAGAGTAAGACTCTGTCTCAAAAAAAAAAAAAGAAAAGAAAAAAAAAGAAAGGATGAATCGTTTTAATTAACATGATAATCCAACCAAAACGAGTTGAGTCTGTAAAGAGCCCTTCAGATGCCCTCTTGTGGGAGATTGTGTTGTTAATAGGCACCAAATTTGAATAGGCCAGTGTTCTTGGGTATCAACCACCCTGTTCTTCCAAACTATTGCATTCTCTCCTCAAGAGTCAGATGTAATTGGTGTTAACTGGTGATTCCCTGAAAGAATAAGCTAAATAAGCTATTCTTTATAAGAAAAGCTATTCTTTTATAAAGAATAAGCTAAACAGTGAGATGGGGTTACAGTTAAGACTTCCTCCAAGAATGAAGTAGTTTTCCAAACTTTAATCTGTTGGCCAGGCACAGTGGCTCATGCCTGTAATCCCAGCACTTTGGGAGGCCAAGGTGGATGGATCAGTTGAGGTCAGGGGTTCGAGACCAGCCTGGCCAACATGGTGTAACCCTGTCTCTACTAAAACTACAAAAATTAGCCAGGTTTGGTGGTGAGTGCCTGTGATCCCAGCTACTCAGGAGGCTGAGGTAGGAGAATCACTTGAATCCAGGAGGCAGAGGTTGCAGTGAGCTGAGATTGCATCACTGCACTCCAGCCTTGAGACACTGTCTCAAAAAAAGAAACCTGTTTATCATCCTGCAGAAGGATGATCATTCCTTTAGACCAGAAAAATAACAATGAGAAGAACTAGACAAACTTATTTTTTCTGCCGAAATTTAGATTGATTTATTTATTGAGACAGAGTCTCACTCTGTTGCCCTGGCTGGAGTGCAATGGTGCAATCTCAGCCCACTGCAACCTCTGCCTCCTGGATTCAAGTGATTCTCCTACCTCAGCCTCCCGGGTAGTTGGGATTATAGGCGTGTGCCACCACACCCAGCTAATTTTTATATTTTTGGTAGAGACAGGATTTTACCATGTTGGCCAAGCTGGTCTCAAACTCCTGACCTCAAGTGATCCACCCACCTTGCCCTCCTAAAGTGCTGGGATTACAGGCATGAGCCACAGCACCCAGCCTGACATTTGTATCTGTATATTGCGGATGTGTTACTTTTTTTTTTGGCAAGTAATGTGCATTCTTGGCCAATGGAACCTAGGGCAGATTGGCAAGAAACCATCTCGGTGTCTTACCAAACTTTACCTTGTTACCTTTATGTGTACAAAGGAAACTGTGCTCTTAAATGATCAAGAATAACAGGTGTGTTTCCCCTGGGTAGTGGGATTGTGGGTTATTTTTGCTTATCTATATTTTCTGCAGTGAGCATGTATTATTTGTGAAACTAAATATATATAAAATATAACTTAAACAAACACACACTGTTGTTTCTAACTCTTGGCCTATATCCCTGCTTTTTGACTCAGATTTAGCCAGACCCTTTCCAACCTCTTTATTCCCCACTGAACTGTGAAAAATCAGCAGACTTCAGTTTGGGAAGAGATTTTTTTGGAGGAAATTAATCTCCTCACTCTTGAACTTCTAAAAACAGCCCAGTTTTTCCTCGGCTTCTTACCAAGCAGTGATTGATGCTACACTTGACTCTGATTTGACAAAACCAAAGCCATGAATCAAAGCTTTCTATGATTCTTGCACGTTCTGAGGCTGGCGAAACGTAGCCGGGGCACTGAGCCGTGTGAAGATGCTCTGTGGGGGGGTTATCCTGCCTCAGGCACTTTGGAGGGTATCACCTGCCATCACTAACCTTTGATATGTTGCTCTGCTTTTTCAGATTTTCGACAATGAAGCCAAAGACGTGGAGAGAGAAGTTTGCTTTATTGATATTGCCTGCGATGAAATTCCAGAACGGTACTACAAAGAATCTGAGGTAAGTGACAGATTCATTCATTCATTCCACAAATATTTCTTAAAGACCTCCTAACTTGGGCGAATTCCATCTCTCGTGTGGATTCAATTTGCTTTCAAGTCTTGCTGGTTCTTTTTGCAAGTATCAAAATTAAGGCCCTAACTCTTCAGGGACGACCATCACTGGCCCTGGCCATTACTCAATTTCCACTTAGTTTTCCTGTCTCCCAGCTCTGCCATCATTCTGGGCAATGTCAGTATCCATAGGGCTGGGCCATCCAATACACTGGCCTCTCTGAAAAACAACAGTCTCCTCAATCACATGCTCTCTCTCTCTCTCTTTCTTTTTTTGAGACAAAGTTTCACTCTTGTTGCCCAGGCTGGAGTGCAATGGTGTGATCTTGGCTCATGGCAACCTCCATCTCCCAGATTGAAGTGATTCTTCTGCCTCAGCCTCCCAAGTAGCTGGAATTAAGGCGCACATCACCACACCTGGCTAATTTTTGTATTTTTAATAGAGACAGGGTTTCTCCATGTTGGTCAGGCTGGTATTTAACTCCTGACTTCAGGTGATCCGCCCACCTCAGCCTCCCAAGTGCTAGAATTACAGGCTTCAGCCACTATACCTGGCCTTTTTTTTATTTTTTGAGATGAAGTCTCGCCCAAGCTGGAGTGCAGTGGTACGATCTTGGCTCACTTCAAACTTTGCCTCCCAAGTTCAAGCCATTCTCCTGCCTCAGCCTCCTGAGTATCTGGAATTACAGGTGCCAGCCACCATACTGGGCTAATTTTTGTATTTTTAGTGGAGATGAGGTTTTACCATGTTGGCCAGGCTGGTCTCCCAAATTCTGACCTCAAATGATCCGCCCACCTCAGCCTCCCAAAGCACTGAGATTATAGGCATGAGCCACCTGTGTTTTATTTAGATTTGAATCAGTCCTTGAAAACTTTGATAGCTCATTCCAGCACAGTGCCTTTCTTTCAGAACAGCAGACACCTTTGTGAGGGCTGAGAATAATTTCAGACAACTTCTTTCTCTCTGGTTTTGAACCTACCAGGATCCATCCTTGCCTTAGTTCTACCTTCTTGTTACACGGTTTCTACGAGTCACCATTTCTATCCCGTTGGTATTTTATTAAGGGCTGCTGATGGAACCTGGGGGACCCGCTTGCAAATAACATCCCAGCCCTGCGATGCCAGCAGATGCAGGGCTGTTTTTGTTGTTGAACAACATGCCGCCAATCCCAGTAGGTTTGGAATCGGGTCCCCACACTCGTCCTTGAGCCATAACACATGGACCTTGAAACGCTTCTCCCAGACTCGTTAAGGCTGATGGAGACACAATCAATAAAATTGTTCAAAATGAATTCAGCCATTACGCAAATAAGCCAGGCTCCCCATGTGGTTTGGATTTCTTTTGCCTCCAAGTTCTGGGATTCATTTTGGTATAAAAGTCTTACCTGATCTTAGCAAATGTTTGGCTGCTTAATTGCAGGTATGTGTCTTCAGCTGCTGTCCCCGAAAGGGCTGGGGAGAGGCTGATGTGGATCACTCTGTGGCTCATCTCCACCCAAAGGCTGAGTGTTTCTTTTTTTGTTTTTCTTTTCTTTCTCTCTTTTTTTTTTTTTTTTTGAGATAGTTTCACTCTTGTTGCCCAGGATGGAGTGCAGTGGTGTGATCTCAGCTCACTGCAACCTCCACCTCCCAGGTTCAAGTGATTCTCCTGCCTCAGCCTCCTGAGTAGCTGGGATTACAGGCATGTGCCAACACGCCCGGCTAATTTTTTGTATTTTTAGAAGAGAAAGGGTTTCTCCATGTTGGTCAGGCTGGTCTCCAACTGCCGACCTCATGTGATCCATCCGCCTCGGCCTCCCAAAATGCTGGGATTACAGGTGTGAGTCACTGCACCTGGCCAGGCTGAGTGTTTTAGCATCATCCACTTTTGTTATGCCCTGCGGCCAACTACACCTATGCATTTTAAGATAAACAAAGTTAAATGCTCTCTGCATAATCGTGGACCCATAACTGCATAACTGGGGGAAATAAACAGGGCACCATTGACCTTCCCTTTGTCTCACTCCATGGAAATCCTGTAGTTTCATGTCAAATCCACTAGTGCTTAATTGGGCTCTGATGCCATGCAGAGCATAGTGCAAAGCACTCCTGTGGCTCCTTGAGCCCTACCTAGATGTCCCAGCCTCTTTGGGTGCTCTGGGCCTTCCAGGGAAGCAGGGTTGCCAGAAAACTCTGAACTAATTTCAGCTTTTCCTCCCAGTGTGCTTTGGCGTGGTTCTGCCTGGACTCCAGGGAGTTCCCTCCTGATTCAGTAGGAAGTCTTGATACAAATATAGAATATTAATGAAGAAATCAAGTCTCATTTCTAGTCAACGGGTGCCTGACTCATTTCCCTGTGCTCTGTGCCCCAAAGAACCTCCACTAGAAAGCTTCCTTTCATTCACATAGATTTTCAAGGCGCTTTTCCTTCATGCTTCAAAGAGCTGCTCATGGGCACGTCTGTACCTCTTTCCCTGGGTCCTAAAGTATTCTTCCCTGGATGCAGCTTGTCCAAGTAGATGAGAGGTAAAGAATCCAGTAATTATAGGCTGGGCACGGTGTCTCACACCTGTAATCCCAGCACTTTGGGAAGCCGAGGCAGGTGGATCACGAGGTCAGGAGATCGAGACCATCCTGGCCAACATGATGAAACCCCGTCTTTACTAAAAATACAAAAATTAGCTGGGCATTTGGCACGCACCTGTAGTCCCAGCTATTCAAGAGGCTGAGGTGGAACAATCGCTTGAACCCGGGAGGCAGAGGTTGCAGTGAGCCGAGACTGCGCCACTCTGCTCCAGCCTGGTGACAGGGCAAGACTCCATCTCAAAAAAAAAAAAAAAAAAAGAATCCAGTAATTATTCATCAAAAAAATATTTATGGAGTCCTCACTGAGTGTCACATGCAATGTTAAGACGTGGGATGACGACTGGGTACGGTGGCTCATGCCTGTAATCCCAGCACTTTGGGAGGCTGGATCGGGTGGATCACCTGAGGTCAGGAGTTTGAGACCAACCTGGTCAACATGGTGAAACCCCATCTCTACTAAAAATACAAAAATTAGCCTTCATGGTGGCGTGTACCCATAATCTCATCTATTTAGGAGGCTGATGCATGAAAATCGCTTGAACCTGGGAAGTAGAGGCTGCAATGAGCTGAGATAGTAACAGAGCAAGACTCTGTCTCAAAAGGAAAGGGGGGAGGGAGAGCAATGAGCCAAAGAGATACTTAGGGTCCCTCCCTTCAGGACACTTCCAGTCTAACAAAACAGTAAAGAACTAATCACACAGATACATAATGAAGTTCAGAGTCACAAGTGCAGGAAGGCAGGTACAGGGAGAGAATGTGATAAGGAAACTGAATTTAACAGAATGGGATCAGGAGAAATGCTATGGACGAAATGACAGTTCAGGCCAGGCTCAGTGCCTCACACCTGTATTGCAAGCACTTCAGGAGGCCAAGACAAAGAGGATTGCTTGAGCCCAGGAGTTGGAGATTACAGCGAGCAGTGATCATACCACTGCACTCCAGCCTGGGAGACAGAGCAAGAGCCTGTCTCTAAAAATAAATGAATGAATGACAGTTATGATGAGACCTGCTGATGACAAGTATGAGGGTTGGGGGCAACAGCGTGCCAGGTGGAGGTAGAAGCACATGTAGGAGCTCCCAGGAAACACGTATGAGGAACGGGAAGGAGGCCAGCATCACAGCTGCAGCACACGCAAGAGGAAGAGGGCACGGAGGGAGGCTGGAAGGGATGAGGGGGCCATGCTAAGTAAGATACTCAGATTTTATTCAAGCATAACAGGATGCCTTCAAAGAAATTTGGTGCAGTGGCTCACAGCTGTAATCTAAGCACTTTGGGAGGCAGAGGAAGGCAGAGGCAGGCAGATCACCTGAGGTCGGGAGTTGGAGACCAGCCTGGCCAACAGAGTGAAACCCTAATTGTACTTGGAAGGCTGAGGTAGGAGAATGGCTTGAAGTCCCAGCTACTCGGGAGGCTGAGGCAGGAGAATTGCTTGAACCCAGGAGGCAGAGGTTACAGTGAGACAAGATCATGCCACTGCAATCCAGCCTGGGCAACAGAGCAAGACTTGGTCTCAAAAAATAAAAATTAAAATAAAATAACACGGAAGCTGAGGCATCATAGGATCTAAATTACACTTTGAAAGATTGTTCTGGATAGAGAATGGAGTGGAGAAGAACAGTGGAAGTCAGGAGACCACCGAGGCCACTATCATTATTTATACCATCAGTTACTTAGGTTCTATCGTGGCTTGTGCTAGAGTGCTGGCAGCAGAGATGGAGAAGAGCAGATGGTTTTGAGGTATATTTTGACGATGAGTTGACAGGGATTGGCCACGGATTGGATATGGGGATGAGGTTGAAGGAGAAGTTGGGATGATCTTAAGGATTCTGGCTTGGGTGACTGAAAGATGGGGGTGCCGCATACTGAAATGGGAAGATGAGAAGAGCAATGTACCTTGGAGAAAGATGAGTGGATTTTATTATGTCAGAGAGGCATCTAAATAAATGGAAATGGACTGGCGCTTAGGTGAGAGATCTGGGCTGCAGACAAATTTGAGAGTATTTAGCAAATGAGAGATTTAAAAATCCTGGAGATGGATAAGAGGAAGCAAGCGTGAAGTATAAATGGGAAAGGGTTCAAGTCCGAGCCTTGAAGGATGGCAGCACCTGGAGATCAGGTAGAATCTGAAAGAATCAGGAATCCAAAAGAATTGCCTAGAAAAAGGCTGGGCACAGTGGTTCATGCCTGTAATCCCAGCACTTTGGGAGGCTGAGGCAGGTGGGTCACCTGAGGTCAGGAGTTCAAGATCAGCCTGACCAACATGGAGAAACCCCATCTCTACTAAAAATACAAAATCAGCCGGGCGTGGGGGCACATGCCTGTAATCCCAGCTACTCGGGAGGCTGAGATAGGAGAATCAATCACTTGAACCCAGGAGGTGG